TTTTTTTTTCTATAAAATTTTGTGTTCTGCTCAGCAAGAATGCTGATAGGGGTACTGAAGATATTTATTTTTGTCTGAGAAGCCAGAATGTAGTTGTTAGAGCATGTTGTTTCGTTTAGCGACTAGCTGGAAAGTTCAGATTGGAGATGACTTCTTATTTTCTTCAAGCATTTCCAATACCGGAAACTAACACTTTACTTTATCCTAAAGTTATTCGATGACTCATTATTTGATGTATTAGTAAAGTTATCATTTCAATTGATACAAAGATAATACCTTTACTGCTGAACTATTATTGACGGGACTTGGTTAATGGGAAACGTATTTAATGTTCATTGTGATCATCATCCCAGTTAACATGTTACTATGATTTGCTCTGTATATACCATGCGTTATTTTGCCACAAAGATTGTCACTCAGCAAACTTATCTGTTCACTGTCTTGGAACTTTGAGAAACTATGGCCTCCACACGTCCCATCTATGTACATAAGCAGGATAATGAATTGAATTTGCATCCATTTGGGTCCGATCAGATTTTTTCCTTTGGTTAGAACAAACAAAATTCTGATTGTCCTTCTGAGCTCGAGGTATCAGTCTAGGAGTCCTGACAGGGATAGACTAGTTCCCAACGAAGAAGATTAAATGTTTCCCAACCTTGAAAATTTTGATTTACTCATATAAGTTTAGTTCCTTTGATGAAATCGCATAGCAATGTTGTTAATTGAAAGAAACCTACGTTGTTGCGAAAGAAACTCCAAATATGGAGTGTTGTATTGTTAAGTGCTACTTGTGTGAGGGTTATAGTTGAATTAATGTAGCATTGTTTACAGTTCTGTTGGCCTTACTCATCTAAATACATATTTAGATGAGAGAGCCTGTTTCTGCATTGTTTACAGTTCTGTTGGCCTTACTCATCTAAATACATATTTAAAATATGTTGCAGCTCATGCCGACAGTTTTGCTGCAAAAAGGATGAGGAAAATTGGTCAAAGACGAGCAGTTGACTATACAAGTACCGTTGTGAGATATGTGCAGGTAATGTTTAATTTTTATCTTTTAAGGCTGTAGAATGATAATGCGAATGTTATACTGTGCTAATGTCTTTCTGATGAGTTAATATGTGATATGCTGCTGAATTCTTTTCATTTCCAGTGTTCAGCTTCCATCTAAGGTTTAGCTTCTTGTACTTGACAAATAGAGACCACTCCTTTAGCCTTACTGCCTTACTGATCATATATCTAAGGTTATATAGTACTCTATTGTCATAGTTCTCTCCTTCCATGCATGTGCATAAGAAGGGAATCTAGTAACTCTTTAAGCTTTTAAGTCATTGGAACTGGTGGTTGAAGGACAGACATTTCTTATGTGAACTGAAAATAAGATCTCGCATGCTACCCGTGATCTAGTTGGCTATATGGTCATGTTTTTCTTCCATTTTTACTATTACTAAATATATATTCAATGTTTCATTCGAAGAAATGCTGTCATAGGAATAAATGGTCTGCGAAGTGTGTTGTTGGATTGGTAATACGTGTGCACTCTTTTATATTGTGTTTTTTCAATTGGATATGAAAATTGCAGTCATTTTTTTTTTCTTTTTCATATTTAAACTAAAGTTCAGTAGCTCTAAGCACCAAGTCCCTTTTCCCTGTTGTTTTGCAGGCACGCATGTTCCAGCGAGACTCAAGGGATAGAACAGTATTGCAACCTAGCCCAGCAGCAGCTATTGATGTGTGTTAATTGCCTGATAATTACCTTCTTTATTTTTGTATATGGGCCATGTCCTTACCTGTTGATTTTTCAACCATTGATGTTGCGTTAATTGAAGATGAAAATTATATTTATCTGTTCAGGTAGATAAGAAACTGTTGATGCTATTTTATTCCCTTCTTTATTTATTATCTATGCAGATGTTGCCTACTGTAGCCTACGGAGACAACCCATCCACTAGTTTTGCAGCAAAATTTGTACATACATCATTGAACAAAAACCGGTGTTCAATTAATCGAGTTTTGGTGAGTTTAGGGAATAAACCATCTTTCTTGCTGTCCTTTTTGTCATTCTTCATGTATGTGTTTATACATAATTCTGTACTAAATTACTATCTCATTAGAATCAAGCGTTTGCTAATTCAACTTAAATGGCTGCTGGTTATGCTATATGTCATTGCTCTCATTATCAGAAGACAACTCTTCCTGGACTATTTGGTGCCAGCAGTCATGAGAATTTTAAATAGTGTTATGTGTTAACTAGTTTACTAAATGTGCTTCGAAAACTATGCTTAGATTGGGAAATGCTACATAAGACACTGGGTGGTGAGTTACAGGAATAGACAGCGGCACATAGTGGTCAGTATTTGATAGCATATACGTGCTTTGCCAAATTTTTATGAATTTTTGGAAACCAATATTGGGTTATTCAAACAGAGGGATGGAAAAAATTAAGAAAAATCGAACATTACCGTGCTTCGTATCTTAAGAGTAAAATAGCATTGTTCCATGTGGTATCATTTTTTATAGGTCCAAGTGTTTTTTGTCAAGATTTCAGCTAAAATGTTGCAACAGTTATTTTGATGAGCTGTATTAGCTTGAAAGATTGTGGACTTGTAAGAGCATCTCCAATGGATAATTGTCTATTTTGTGTTGTATGGCATGGACAATGGAAGCTAAAAAATTCTGTCTCTAATAGTTAATGTTAATTGTGATTTCATTTGTGACGTGTTGAATTTTAATTGGTTGAAGAAGATAAATAAATTAAATAAATACTCTAATATACAAAAGAAATTGTCTAGAAAGACTTCTACATCTAGAAAGCCTTCTAAAAATTTTTCAAGCCACATAAGATTATTTGTGACATGTGGCAACAAAATAGAGAAATGGAAAGACCATTGGAGATGCTCTAAAGAACCCTAAGAATGGGAAGTTTCGGCTGTTTACTAATAGCAAACCTTTTTTAGCATGCTAAAACTGTGACTTGCCTTTAAGTGGTTATCATTTCAAACAATATCCTTCTAAATATATGTTCCAGCAGTCTATGCTGTTACTTTCTCGTTTCACTGTTAATCCAATATCCTACCTAAGAACCCTAAATGTGGTTGATAAAAGCTTTTTCCCTTTTGATCTAATTGTGTTTGGATCAAAATATATTAATAGTGGACCCCAAGTGGGAGACGCCTTATTACTGGATCTCAAAGTGGGGAATTCACTCTGTGGAATGGCCAGTCCTTCAATTTTGAAATGATACTACAGGTATTACATTTACCTGTTTCATGTTATTTTAAACTTTAGATGCTTGTAATGATTGATAAGATATGTCTTCTACGCAGGCCCATGAGCAAGCTGTCAGATCTATGATATGGAGTTATAATGAGAACTGGATGGTCACTGGGGATGATGGTGGCGCTATAAAGTAAATTCGATTTTTTGGCAAATTGTATTGTGGTCTTATTTAATAGTATGGTTGGCGAAATGATTATACCTGGTTGCAGGTACTGGCAAAATAACATGAATAATGTGAAAGCTAATAAATCTGCACATAAAGAATCAGTCCGTGGCTTAAGGTATAATATCCTGCTCGAAGCTAGTTGTACAGCTCTACTTCTCTTATCCGTGTTGCTGGACTGGCTTTCAATTCTTCTCCATGGTTGTTTAATATTAGCTGGGGACAACAATGATTTTAACTACTAACTGTAATGAAATACCAGAGCAACCTGTTATATTTTGTGATAAAACATTGTAACATTTGTCCTTTTTGATGACATAGTAATATTATTGTTATATTTTTATTGTCATAAAACCTAATCTTCATACCTTTTAATCAGCTTCTGTAGGACAGATTTGAAGTTCTGCTCCTGTTCTGATGACACTACCGTTAAAGTTTGGGACTTCGCTAGGTGTCAGGAGGAGCGATCGTTATCTGGTGATGTCTTCATTTTGATTCATAAAAGGACTGCCTTTTACTTTTAGACTGATCTGGGATTTTGATATTGTTTTTGGTTTCTGACTTTTCAACTAGAGAACAAAGGGAAACCTTAAGTCTCAGATAATTTGTATTAAGAAAAGTATTATCATTTAAACATGAAATCATGAATGCATTTGTCTCTCCAAAATGCCTACAGCTTTTATCTTATCTTTTAACTCCTGTGCAAGCACTGACCTATATGTGCTAAGAGACTATACGACTCGTAATCAAACAGCTAAGGTTTACTGTGGCTGGCATCTGATAATTGAGTTCAAGAAGTTTGTTGGTCTGTCAGTTATGTAATCGGCATACAGTTCTGGGGAAATTATTTCGATGTTCTTTTATTTCTTTCTTTTTTCATTCTCTCTTTTTCATTCTGATTGAGGTGAAAATATTTTGATACTCTGCCGACTCACAAAGGTTCAGGCCCTTCACAAAAGTTAAGGGAGAATCTGATCATTTATCCTAGGAAACAAACAAATTGATTCTAATCTATGTAATGTTGCTGATCTGTTACGCTTCATGAGTAATTCTTTTTATCAGTTTAATGTTGATAATGGGGAAAGTACCATAAGAATTTTGTTTTTGTGTCCTTTTGACTCAGACAGGCCATGGTTGGGATGTAAAGTGTGTTGACTGGCACCCTACCAAGTCATTGTTGGTTTCGGGTACGTGCTTAGGTCACTTATACTTGATAGCTCTCTATTTCTGGAACTTTTTTTTCTTCTTTTCAATGGGGATCTTCATAGGTGGGAAGGACAATCTTGTCAAACTCTGGGATGCCAAGTCAGGACGAGAGCTCTGTTCGTTGTGAGTAAACACCATTATGCATTTAGTTTATGAAATTATGGCTCAAAGTCTCTAGCTGATCCTTTAAGCGTAATTTAATTGTATGATAACACTGCTTTTGCAGTCATGGTCACAAGAATACGGTCCTTTGTGTGAAATGGAATCAAAATGGCAACTGGGTTTTAACAGCTTCAAAGGATCAAATTATCAAGGTAGGCTGGCCTTTTGACTGTTGTCTTGGTGTTTCTAGAGTGAGTTGAACCTTTAAGATTTTATGTTTGCTTCTTTTTCCATTAAACTTGATATTTTCTTTGGTTGTAGCTTTATGATATACGGGCCATGAAGGAGCTTGAATCTTTTCGTGGGCATCGCAAGGATGTCACTGGTATGGAAGTACTTCTGTCAGAGTGCTAACATTGTACTATGTTTTTGTGGTGCTACATACAACTAGAAGTGATTACTCAACTTAATCTGTGGACTCTGAAATGAGACATGCTCAGGTTTTACATATTTAAAGAGCTGCATTTGACCCTTTCTCGGCTTTGATATCCATTATCCAATATATGGTTTCTACAAAATTGGGAGCATTTTAATTAGGTTTTCTTTTGCTTGATTATATATGAAAAGTTGAAAGGCGCATACTTGGAGATTTCAAGTAGTTACCTTGAATTTGTGATATTCGAAATGAGATCCGTGCAGCTCCAAATGTGACCTATTAATAAACAGATCAAAGACAGACATGTTTATTGTCGTGCATAAGTTTAAGATAGTTTGCTCTTTTACTGGTCTTTGAAATAACTCCGCTCTCTACTGTCTTTCAGTATTTGCCTTGTCTTGCTTAGTCTCTGTGGACCTAGTATGCTCTTCGTTTTTCTGCCTGTTCTGCAACCTTCTATGTTTGTTATAGTATGATACTTATGTTCCATTTATCTTGACGGTCACAGCATTAGCTTGGCATCCATTTCATGAAGAATACTTTGTTAGTGGAAGCTTTGACGGATCAATTTTCCATTGGCTGGTGGGGTAAGCTGTTCGCCAGTTCCTTTAAAATGTTCCTCAGTTCACCTTGTTGCAATGTTTAGAAGTACAAGTTTTTACCTGATTTCTTGTAACTTTTATTTTCACATTATCTGTGAGTGCTCCTTGGGCAAGTGACAAACAATGTTGATTGTTGAGTAAGTTTTTCAAGTGTGTACCCTTTTACTTGACACCATTAACTTCTCCACCAGTGTTCCCAGTCTGCAGAATCTCAACATATTTGAATATAGAAACTGGATCTTGAATATCGTTGAATATTATTTGCCTTTAAAATATTTTCTCTACTCCATGCATAGCCATTTTTTTGAAATAGTTCAGCCAATGAAGTTGGTAAGGAAACAATGGCATGCTGCAGGTGTTTCCCGCTTGTTCTTTTTTCCCCATATGATAACTATAATTTTATGAGAAGAGGACAAGTAAATCGCAGAAGCAGTCATATTTTTCGTAATTGTTGTTTGAAGTATGACAGCAGTATCTGATAATTGTTCATGACCATCTCTAACTTTCTGTGGGTAGGCATGAGACTCCCCAGGTTGAGATACAGAATGCGCATGATAACAGTGTTTGGGATCTTGCATGGCATCCTATAGGGTACCTTCTCTGCAGGTCTGAAGTTATCTCTGACGAAATGTTACTGTCATTTTTTATTATCTACAGTTCAAGGTGATAAGATGGACAACCTGTAAAATGACAAAGTTTTTGTTATGTAGTGGTGGCAATGATCACGCTACAAAATTTTGGTGCAGAAATCGGCCTGGGGATCCAATTCGGGATAAATTTAATTTAGGACAAAATCAAGGTTACTACTAATTTTTCTTTCATGTATATTATCCTATCTTAATACTTGTTGGTTGACTCGTTTCAAAATTTTCAAATGGTATTAGATGATATATTTATGTCTATATTATTATCATTATTATTATTATAATTATTATTTTTGTAGGTTTTGGGGAGCAAAATCCTTCTATGGGAGGCCGTGTGTCTGTTCCTTTCCCAATGCCCGAGGTCCCCACGACTCCCGGACCATTTGGGCCTGGGTTGACCCGTAATGAAGGAACAATCCCAGGCATTGGAGTTGCTATGCCACTTAATATTGCATCTCTTGATTCAGCCGGCCAAGACCAGAAGCCACCTATATCAGTTTCGATGCCTGTAGGACCTCCTCCCTTGCCACCGGGCCCACACCCATCCCTTCTTGGAAAACAACAAAATGCTCAGCAACACCAGAATTTACCCCACCAGATGTCTTCTTCACTGCCATTGCAGTCACCAAACATACCTCAGATGCAGCAGCATTTACCGATGTTACCACATCCCCATTTACCCCGCCCTCCAAATGTCCCAACCTCAATGCCCGGCCCAGTGGTAAGAAACTAATGCCCACAATTTACTTTTAATGTTGCCTTGTGACGGTGGTAATTTTTAAACTTTCCTATCTCAGGGTGGCATGAATCAAATGGTACCTCCATTGCAAGGCCACTTTATGGGGATGAATCCGATGCCTTCTGTATCTGGAAATATGCATCCAGGTTCCAATACAATGTATCAACCAGGCGGGGGCTTTAACAGACCACAGGGAGGGCAGATGCCAATGATACCAGGAATGAATCCTTACCAGGTGCGAGAGTTTATTCCAATTTTTCGGTTTGCCTAGCACAATATCAAAAATTTTCTGCGTATTAGTTTGGTTCATCAATTTTGTCGGACCATCTTTTCTGCGTGCTGTGTCCTTTTCCTTTGTTGTCTCAAGTGATTAGAACTCTTCTATATTTGCTATGTATTGTTAGGATTTTGATATTTAACCTCATGCTAATATCCCAGGAGATGGAAGAATCCCATCTTATATCCCGTATATATTTATCGGTGAATGGTGATTTCTATCAGTATTTTTCATTTTCTCTAGGCTGAAACACAGATTAGAGGGTGTTTAACTGAGCTTATAATCTCTTTAAACATCTTATAAGCGGTTTAAATTTGTTTGGTGCAATCTTTTGAAAGACGAGCTTATTAATTATGTGGGTGCTGATGGACAACCAATTCAATTTCTGAGGTGCTAATTCGCGACTCATGCGTTTATGTAGATTTCTTCTTAAGCGGCATAAGAATAGCGGTGCCTGCTTTTTTTCTCTGAAATTATTAACATTTCTTAAGCGGCATAAGCATAGCGGTGCCTGCTTTCATTCTCTGAAATATTGACAGATACCCACCCTTTTCTACTAATGTGGGGTGGGGTGATCTGACAAAAATGTCCTCCAAATATCATTATCGGAATAGAAAACCATCCCCATGAGGCAGATAATAACTCGCATAAGAGTAGAAGCTTTTAAACTCTTTGGAGAGTAAGATGCAACTGTGAGGACATTTAATTTCGGAAAAATAGAGAAAGAAAGTTAAACAATATTTACGGGTTAGAAAATAAAATTAGATCTGCATTGGGTTTTCTTGGTTAGGTTTAAGATTTGAAGCTACTAATGCGGTTGGTGTTTGCTGCAGTCTGGAAATGGTAATGCCCCTGGAGCTGGAATGCCATCGAGCTTTTCTGGGATGCCTCCCCCTCTGCCTCCTGGCCCCCCACCGCACGGTCAACCTCATCAGTAGCACTCAGATTTGTACATCATTTTGGTTTGTTGTTAGGATGAGAAAACGTGGAAATCTCTCTTTCTCCTGTGTTGTGTTTTAATTCAAGTGTAGCTTGATGATAAAGCTCAGATATGTACATTAATCGATTGGAATGGACTTTTTCGCTGTTCCGTACGCAATAGAAGTCACATGTAAGATGTTTGATTTTGTAATGGACCTCTCTCTCCCTATTTTTTTTGGCCTAAATGGACAGACTCTATGGAATTGACTCATTTAATTTTTATGTCTCGTGCTTCACACGTTCTTTTATGATCTAGTAAAAGAAGAAGGAAACTATAGGAATACGAACTAGTAAAAGAAGAAAGAAACTAAAGGAATTGGTTATCTATATTATATATATATATATATAATTGTTAGCATATAGCATTTAATAAAACTTATTAATAAAACTTCTAGAATATTTTCTCTAGTTTTTGTTTTTCCAACGGCATAAAGAATTTCATTAAAACAATGTCCAAACAATGGGAATTACATCAAGAAACCTGGGAGGCCAAGCATGATAATGTTGCCTAATCGAAACCTACCAGAAACTAACAGCCAATACAAGAAACTAGAAAAAAAACCAACCACCTGGCCTACCAAAGCACAAAGGGAAATGAAAGCCTATCATCAAAACAAATAAGGATCTGACAGCCTACCACCACAAACCAAAGAAAAATAACTGCCTGCAGGCCAAATCTCCAACTGGATACTCTCTGCAAACTCTAAAGTGGAACATCAACAGATAAACTGGCAAGGAAGAAAAAATAACCACTGACACGAGACCTAGTTATCTCTCATCCCATCTGGTTCAGTCATTAGAGTTATTTGCAGAGTACTCCATCCAATCCCGCAAAGTTGATTTAATGATCCACTCCCTAGGCAACCACTGGTTCTCAAAGACCCAAATATTCCTCGCTTTCCATAGCCACCGTAATATGTAAGTGGATGATTGGATTCGCTCTTCCGAAATATCCTTGCCAGGCATAGTGCTAATCCACCACCACCATTCCTTTACACTAAATGTCTCCTTCTGAAACATAACCCATTGGACAGGTGCAATTGCCCAAACTTGCATAGCTTTGCAACACTTGAACAGAACATGCTCTTGGGTTTCCTCAAACTCACCACACACCCTGCAAGTTGTGTCCAGTGGCGGAGCCACACCTTGTGGCTGGGGTCAGCTGACCCCTATGGATTTCAAAATTTTTAGTATAAAATACTGTTCAAACACTGTTTACTAGGTTAATGACCCCGCTAAAAAATATTGTCGACCTCGGTGAAATTTGAGGTTGGCTTCGCCCCTGGTTGTGTCCAACTCCAACCCTCTAGCTTTCAAATTACTTTGAACAGGGAGCAAGTTGGAAAAATATTTCCAGACAAAGTGTTTAACTTTGCCCATTACTTGAAGATTCCAGCACCTGTCTCTAGCTCTAGAGTTCCCACTAGTCTTTGAGAACCAGTGTTTAACATTTCCAGTTTTGGTTACAAAATTTATCATTAATATTTTTTTTTTTATTTCTCATATTAATACATCCTATTAAGTGTAATTGTCTATGTTTCTATTATATTATATAATAGTTATTGCTAATACCAACTAACAATAATTCACAATAAATAATAATAAATTTAAATAAAATTTATATGTGCAAATACCAACTAACTATTATTGCTAATACCAACTAACTATTATTAAATAATAAATTTAAATAAAATTTATATGTGCAAATATTAACGAATAATCTACTTTAGAAATATTTATTTTTTGTTTATAAGTACAATATGAGTGATCAATCAATAATCTTAAAATGAAGGTACATTTAATAATATTATAAAATATTGAATAATATGTTACTACTAAGTTTGTAAAAATAAAATGAATTTAATTCTTAATAAGAAAAGTGGAAAAGTATAAAAAGAAGTAGACAATGATATGAAAACTAAATAGAAACAGAAAATCATAGTTAGGAAAATTTCTCATTTAGGAATTTTATTTAAAGGTAGGGTAGGGTGGATGGTACCGCTCAGATTGTGGCCAATATTCCTATAGCATAGGTCTGGATTTGTTTTTTTATTATTATTATTTTTTTTTCCAAATATACAGATAATTAGCACGGGATGGGTTAATCTATAATCAGATACATTGATTTTATAGTTTTCAAATTAAATAAAATTTTAGATTAGATAGAAATGAAATAATTGATATAAATCTTTGAAATTTTAATCTCAAATTGTTGATATCACAAAAATAATAATAAATAAAATATTTGGTAGAAAATTTTTAAAACTTTTAATCATTATATTTTGATCTATTATTGATATCAAATAAGTTAAAAAAATTCCACGTCACATGGTTAAAAAAAAAGCAAAATAAACATAAAAAAGGTAAAAAAAAAGAACGTGTAAAAAATTTTCGTATTCTGTAACTAATATTCTTTTGGCAAACATAGTCCGTACGATGAATGAAACAGAGATGTTAAACGAGTCATTCTCATAGGGCTTCTTCGTTTAGGCTCCAAATAAAATAGGGTTGGATCATAATTGTTTCACCTATTTTAATCAATTTGTTTTTTTATGCCACAATGTTAACCATTAGTTTGTTTGGGCTAAGTTGTAAGTTAGTTAGTATACTGGTATGTAAAAACCTTCAACCTGGAATCGGCTTGCTCACGTGCTTCCTCGACAATTGAACGCCTTCGACCTAAAAAATCCTCACACCAGAAGGATTATCCGGTGAAGAGTTACGGTTCTTAAATGAGTATATGTAGAAGATGATTTGCAGATAGTTTAAAGTATATATATCGTAATGAGGTAAATTTACACATCTCACCCCTATTTATAGGGGTGAGGTACCTGTTTATACAGCTGCCTGGATATGGTGAGCTGCCTGGTAGTAAAATTCTCTGTTACAATGCGTCAGAGATGGTTACGAGGCGTAGACCAATGAGATGGTGCCACGTAATTTGGCCCACACGGGGCTTAATTCCCTTGAATAGATCACTTAATAATCCAACCAACTCTAGGTCGATTGAGATGAAGCGCTGACTGCACCAAGTTTGCGCAGTGGTTGATCGGGAGAACCATTTGCAACTACAGGTCGAGTTTTGATCACGCCATCCGTGGGCGACCTGTCCTCACTGTACTTAACCCCTTATGACATGATTGGTATGAGGGAATGACATGAGTATTGATTCATGATCATTCTCTTACTCATTCCTTATCTCATGATTGATATATTTTTTCGAAAAGAGTAATCATTCCAATGGTAATTGCAAAACCCGTCTTCATGAGATTAGCCATTCCATAGCTCATGCAAAGTTTTTTCATTCTAGTATTTGTGGGAATCAATTTTTCAAATAATATATTTCAAATAAACAAATTTGAAACTCATTTTTATTTATTTTTCATATTTTAATTAGATAGATTAAATTAAATACTTATATAAAAATAAAACTAAAAATCGGCATTTATAATAATTTAAAAGATAATAATATGAAATATACAATTCACTAATTACTAGCTATATAATATATATGAGTGTAACAACACAAAAATATATTTATTAAAATATAGTATAATTTCTTTTAAGAAATAAAATAATTTTATTATTAACATAAATAAAAATACAACCTGAATATAAATATTATTTTTTTTCTATAAAATAATGATAAACTAGTACAACGCCCGTGTATTACACGGGTGCTTGCTAATTTTTTCCTTAAAATCTAAAATTATTGAGAAAAAGTAGTTGAAAATATAAATACCTTTTATAAAAATATATATATTATTATATAATTAATATGCCACTTTTATTTGTGTGACTTATTTGTGTTATATTATAATAAGTTTTTTAACTTACGACATATAACTACATTAAACATAAATATATCAACTGAGAAATAATTCTATTTTTCTAATAAATTTTAATAAATATTATTATTTTTTATTATAAAGATAAATATAATTTATTTATTTTATATATACAATATGGATGTCAAATCGAAGATCATGAAAAGATTATTAATTTGATATATTATATATGTAAAATCGATAAGAAATACAAAAGTTATCAACTTTTAAAATACATTTATAATTCAATAGCTAATTGAAGGAAACAAATAAAAGTCAGGGATATATTAGTCACTTAGTGTCTTACTATGTAAAATTATAAAGAATTAAATGGTTATATTAGTACAAGTCATATTAAAATACCTAAGTTAGCTAAATAATATTTATGGAATGTCCGAACCTAGATTATTAATTATTAATATATCAATATTTTTTGTCCAAACCTAATTACGAAGTATGATTCTTCGCAAAATAGGATTACGAAGCACCAGAAGCAGCCACGTAGGAATTACATATAGGGGGGATGATAATATAGAATGACAATATCATTCCATTCAGGTCTTATTCCTTCTGTATATCAAACACATCAATGGAAAAACTTGTTTCATTTCTTTTACATATTCAATTCATTCTTCAACTCATTTTATTCATATCAAATTCTATTCCAGTATACCAATTATGTCATTATTGTCTTCCAGATCGAAAGCTCTTGATCCTGTGGTGGTCGACCAAGCCACCCATCTGATTCTGCTCAATCGACAACTCGTTTCGCTGACTCGACTGGTTTACTCCCTTAGGTGTGATATCCCATATTATATATTATCATAATAACACATTTATAATAATATTAATTAAATTTTAGTATATATATATTTCTTGATATAAGAAAAGTAAAAAATTTACTTATTTTCGTTCACCATTTAATACTCAATTATTATTTTCTCCTACAATTTGTTAATGTGTAATGTCATTATTAGTATTTAAAAATGTTATAGAAATAGTATTCTTATTTTTATTTTATGTAATAAAAAATATTTAATGTACAATAATATTAATTATTAATGTAGTTAATTTGAAATTATGTAAATAAATTTGAATAAAAAATTGTACATTAATGTTTTACAAAATAT